CCAGACTGCGCTCAACCACTGCTCGCACTTGGTGAACCAGACAAGCAAGACATGATCATGATCACCGAGGCCGACATCGAGAAACAGTTCGTCTACGTTTCACCACGACTAGGCCACGGGTGCGTGCCTGTACTGACCAGCGAACGCTGGGCCAAGGCTAGGCGAGAGACGCGTACCACGTTTGCATACTTGCCCGACATTAGCAACAGCTACTTCAACCTACTACACGAGCGACTCACATCAGCACTCACAGGCTGGACGTACCCATGCTCGCACCATCAGGCCGAGCTACACAGGTCACAACGGCCGAAGGAAATTCCATACTACAGGAAAGCCGACAGCAGACCCGACAGCCAGCCATTTTTTGACGGTGAGGAGCCGCCAATATTTTTACGCAACGCACCACTCATGCACGGCGCATGGGAGCAGCCCAGCAACGACAATGACCAAAACAAGGTACGACTAACGTACTCCCAGTACAATGAGGACGCCACCGAAAAGAGCCTCAAAGAGACACTATGCAACATATGCTGCCGTCAGAGCGCCAAGAGGTACGAGTTCCACATGGACGAGGACTACGCCATCCACGCGAAGTTTAAGTACGACAAACAGAACTACGAAGCACGTGCCTCCATATGTTCAATGACACTCACAGCACGACGTCGCCTCAGGGTCTGAGCTGCTCCTACTCACCAACTACTTAGCAGACGCGCTGCGCCCATCAGGCGCCTCGGCCCTCCACCCACCATGGGCAACGTGCATGCTGGAGGAGAGCCGGCGCCGCATCGCACCACCAGTTACACGCGAGCAGCCCAACTATGTTGATCGAGAAGACGCCACCAACCTTGAATGCGAACTACTGAACCAATGGGAGGGAACTGCGCGCTTCTAACCCAAGTACCGTGCAGGCCCAACACCTCCTAAGCATGGCGAGCTTAAATCACCAACCAGACACAACCCAAAGTGGCAACCAATGAGTGGAAGCCCCGGACCTACGCCTATCGCAGAGCTCTACCCGAGCAAACGCGTCATCTACGACGACTGCAACCCGAACTGCATTCAGGCCGAGCCATCTGGCTTCCTGCCGAACCCTCATGGACCGCAGTTCGCATGCGACCCGCCGATGTTCATGCAGACGCAGGACGGTGTCCGTTTCCGCGCCAACCTATCAGCATGCGGTGAGTTTTGCACAATTGTGCAACACTATCTTTCAGAACGGTGCGACATCGAGAAGGATATTTGCGGTCGCCTGGAAAAGTTGCGGTTCGCGTGCAATTGTCAGAATAAAATGATACCGCCAGAGCGAATCACGCACATCCTTACCTTCAAGGAAAAGACGACGAAACGCCACATAACAATATGCGAAAATAGCCGGGAACACACCCCGCCCGAGCCACCGCGGATGCCAGTGCCGCCGGCGCAGAACAACGACGACGGACCAACAGCCCATTGGGTAGACGACCAAAGCGAAGGCTGGCATTTCAGCATCAGAGGACAACCGCGGCGACAGAGACGCCCCGTGGGCCAGGATGAGCCGAGCATCTGGCTCCCCCGAAGCTTCCCTATCACCGCTCAAACCAAACAGATACCATTACATGCGCTTACCCAGTGGCTTGACTGCCTACTGTCACTACGCCGACGACGCAGAGGAGGATGCCGTAGGAGAAGACACATGGCATCATGCAGTATATTTCCACGAAGCAACCGACGCACGCGTTCATATTCCCCAGCGACCACGTACTACTACCTGGGTGGCACAGTTCTCTCAACGAGTGCAACGGTGAGATCTTTGCGCGCAGTGGCGGCGAGCAGTGCCTGCCGCGTCCGCCGCTACGGCCCGGCTCCCATGCCGCGCCGCTAACCGCTTGCGCGTTCCCCGCTGCGACTTGCGCGAAGCCTGCGAGCGCCGTGAAAGCGGGCTCGCGCCGACCGCTGCGCAAACCGCCCAAGCAACCGAACTTCCCGCGACGCGGCAACGAATTGCAAGCGTTCGCGGCGCAATATTGCGACGGCCTAACACAGAGTGTAAGTAGTCCAAACATGCGACCGCGTCAGGGCGCTGATCGCAGGAGGACATGCACCGTTCAGCAATGCCAAGATCGCAGCCATACAAGAAGCGTCACAATGGCTCGACGCATGCCACGGCGAGCGCGACGTGATGTGCACTTGGGCAGTGCGACTACGCGACGCAGCATTCCTGGAGCAAACGTCGCTAGCGCAGTGCAAAAGACCCAGCAACTGCCAAACCACCACCACCTTCGCTCGGGCGCACTCTACCACTGTCATGGACCGCTAACAGCACGCCGACCAGCCCAGCAACCACAGCTGACTGCGCGCACAGCCGAGCAGCGGAACACCAGGCTACACTGCAGCCGCAGCAACCCAAAGTGCCCGCGCAACCACCGACCACGCAGCATGACAGCTCACCGCGCGCGCAACCAAGGCAGAACGCGATACTAAGCAAACCCGTGCCAAATATGCGCAGTGCCAAAGCGACCGC